CCTATAACCAATAGAAAGTCAAGGTTTTCATCTATCAAATGATGTATAATGTTGTTCTGAACAGATAAGTGTCAAATTCACTCAGAGTATAAACTTCATTCCCATGGGAAAGTTAACGATTAGCTTGGATGAATTTGTAATGGCTCTTGTTGTATAGTTAGAAAGCCAGAAAAACTTTGCGAGTTAGGGGAAATTGTCTGCTTTTTGCATGATATTAGTATATGTTCTTTGGTGCATTAATCAATTAAATAAAAAGTATTTAATGCACTGCTACCATTAGTATAAAATATGTAGGCTTAAGTTTAATCAATAGCAAGAAAAAAGAAGATTTGGTTAAGTAATTTATTTCTTTTTTTCCATGTTTATTCTTTATTTATTATTATAAATTAACTAAAATATAAAAATAGGGATCTTTTTGGGTTAGTTAAGAATAGATTAAGTAAAATAAAGAATAATAATAATATAATAAAAATGTTTCATGAGGCACGCACGCAAGCAGCACATAGGTAATGTAATTCGATAGCATGACGTGAGCTGCACGTACCAACAAGTGATTTACAATGTATTATGGTACGGATAGTAGTTAGACACATTGAATGGAAAATAAAACAATAACATTTAATTATAAATAGATTTATACTGTTACAAGCTTAAAGCTACTTAGGATGAACGAATGTAGTTTCATGTTACAATTTGAAGTCATTCTAGAAAGAAAAAATGGGTTATTTAGATTTTTTTTGGTGGTTACAAGGTTGGTCAAATTGACCGATCTCGTTTTGAGTTAGGGTAGAGAAAATAACAGATGAAATATAAAGTTACTGGGATAAAACGTTAATCTTAACATGAAAATTACTTTGCACATGGACTATTCAAAACAAATACTCAATATATTCATGGACAAATCTTTAGTTTATTAAAAAATACTTCACTAAAAATATGATTTTTTTTGTATGTGAAAGACTTAAGATGTTAACTGAAAGACTGAAAGATATACATACTATATTGAAAGTTAGAAGTATTAAATCTATAAAGATTTTAAAGGAGTACAAAGAGGTCGTGTACTCAGTCAAATCGACCAACCCTGTGTTGAGAGAGTTAATGGGTTCCCCATGGGAATAAAGTTTCAACTGGAAGTGAAATAGACAATTCTCTGTATAAAAAACAACATAATATACTTGATAGATTAAATTTTGACTTTTTATTGGTTATAAATAATATAGTATTAAATGTCACAATTTGTGAAAGTCAGGATGTGACAGGTAGGTGTGGCGAAAGGATTTTGATTTTCTAGATTATGGCTCTGTAACTAAATAAGATTGAAAGCTATAAAAATTATGCTTTGTCTGAGTTATAATATTATGAGTAATTTACATTAAATTCTTGAAGATAGCTTTTATATGCAAAAACATCTGTTAGCTGTTAGATCTTAAAATATAACGTTGATAAATGGAAACATCTTAAAGTTTTGTACACCAAAAAAACATTAAATTCTGTAATTATTGGAAGGATGATAAATAAACTAGAAAAGAGGGAAGAGTAAATGTTACAATTCTCATATTAGGGTACATTATGAAATTTTTTTAATATTCCCTTATAAAATTAAGAACTTAAAATTAATATAATTTCAAATATGGATTATTTGTTATGTTTTGATGCCAGGCTTATTTGTATGCCATAATAATAAAGTAGTTTAATCAAATTTTGAATGTAACTTGGTAAAACCTCATGACATGCAGAAAAGGATGCCCATATAGAAAGTATTAAGTAGGTTTTCTTTTCTATAGACACTGTCTAATGAGTGTCAAGGGATGTTATACTTAAATTATTTTCTTTCTCTATAGATACTGCCTAATGAGTGTCAAAGGGTGCTATACTGACTTCCATATTGATTTTGGTGGAACATCAGTGTGGTACCATATCATTAGGGGAAAAAAGGTAAACTTGTTAATTGTTTACTCACTAAAGTTGGATCTTTCTTTCTCCTATTGAATATGCATATTGTGTTTTATGGATTTATACATTTAAATATACTTCACTCTATGTATGTATTCTTTGACACTTGACAAACTCTTGTTACTTCCTTTATTAAATATTTTCTATACAAAAAGTCTAATGCTTTTTTTTTATTTCTAACTTGCCAATGCATAGAGAACTTGTAATGTACATATTAAGTATTATGAATTTTGTTTCTTTTCCTAACTTATGCAGTGCCCACACCATACTTTTTTTTATCTGTTATGTAAATGTTGAGGTATCCAGTGTATGTTTTTTTTTGTTGTTGTTTCACATAAAATTCACAATTCTTTTGCTTATGTAGTGTACATGGCAGATACTGGTTTTTCTTTTCAGTTTTCACATCTTGAGAGAAATTTTCAGATCACAGACTTACTGAGAAAAGTCCATTTTTCAATTACAAAACCCGCTTTTCACTGTCCAACATTTTTTGCTTTACAGTTTCATCTGACATTTTCATTATACCTACTCAGTGGTGTAATTTTTTTAGAAAAAAAGTTTGATTGAATTTGTATAGAGACTTCCAATAAAGCTGTTAATTAAAAATGTTCTGGTACAGAATTTAAAATGTTTCTTGAGATAAATCGTCATTTTTATCTGTATAGGTTATAGATATCAGCTTGAAAGGACAAAAAAAATTAACAACTTCTTAAACACACACAAGCATGTTTTGTTAAATGGTTATAATTTTTATGGTTTTTAAGAAAAGGCATAACATAACACATTGAATTACAATTTTTTTTTTTCACACAACTCACTGAATCAGCCAATTATGGATATTTTATAAATTAAGATGTGTTATCTCATGATCTTTAAATGTTTGTACTTTACCATGTGCATGGGAAACCCTAAAATATTCACGTCCATTGTGATTGATGTTTTGTATATCAGTTACTGAGTAAATATTACAAGATAAAGTTAAACAGCAAGGTTATTAACAAACATTTAAAGTTAGCAAAAAATAACAAATCATGTGTTATTCTTGTGATAAAAAATTTGGCCCCCAAGTTTATTTTAGTATTGTTTGTTTGTTTCTTTCAAGGTGACTTTACACAGTGTATGGCTGTATTATTTGGCATTTTTGAGGCATACTTGTTTATTTTTTCTTTAATGTTTTATAAGGAAACACAAATGCTATTTATTTTTGGTGAATTCCTGATATATTAATATACGTAATATTTACACATTCAAAATATTTTTATTGAAAATCTACATAGCCTTTTTTATAGAAATTTATATAACCAGAAAGTTTTATTTTATTATTTGTATAGATGTTGATATTACTTTATCTTTTGAAGTTGCTCTGAACTGTTACATAACTTTTGTACATATTTGTGTTGTACTCAAAATATATTGTTAAATTTTGGTAGGCTGTTATATAATTCATTTCTTCATATTTGGTTATTTAATGCAGTGGTTTCCAAACTGGGTTTCTACGCAATATGTGGTCATAGCACAGCCAATGGGGTTGTGAAAAGACAATTACAATTAGGCATATTTTTATTTCAAGTGCTCTCTTGAGTTGTATAGATTTTTTAGCCTCAAAATGAGGTCATAGAAAAAAAGTTTTAGAAGTGCTGATTTAGTGTTATGCTTGGATGTCCAAAAATAGTTTTATGTTGGTAAAAATATGGATATTAGATAATTTCAAACTATTTTAATGTTTTATTTTCAGGTATTTTGGCTGATTCCTCCAACAGAACGAAACCTTACTCTCTATGAACAGTGGGTTTTGTCAGGTAAACAGGGAGATGTGTTCTTTGGAGACACTGTTGAAAAATGTGCAAGGGTTGAACTCAAAACTGGATATACGTTCTTTATTCCAACAGGTATACTGCTATGAGTGTAAAGCTATTTAGGATAAACAAATGCAGTTTTATATTACAGTTTGATGTCATTCTAGAAAGTAAAAAATGGTAATTTAGATTTATTGTGTTTTTGTTGTTACAAGGTTGGTGAAATTGATAAACCTTGTATAATGTTAGGGTATAGAAAATAACAGGTAATTATTAAGATTTATTGGAAAGAAATGTTTGAACTTTATTTAGGAGGTTTCAGAAATTATGCAAATAAAATTTGAGATTTTTGAGACAAAGAAAAGTGTTTTTAATCTTTACATGAAAAATCACTTGTCAATCAGACTAGTATGCAGAAATACTATATATATATATTCACAGACAAATGTTGTGAAGATACATAAAGTGTATTAAAAGTTATGGAAACTATAACGAGTACAAAATGGTTACGAGGGTGGTCAATTTGATTGACTGCTTTGTGAGAAAGTTAACATCGTAGCAAAATTGTTGTACAATTTCCATCATACTTCTTTTGTTGCCTAGGGCTTCACAGTGGTGAAGACCAACTCTGTTTTTGTCACTTTTCAGATGTGTTATACAGTAGATAGTTTTGGTGTGTCACATTTACATTGGCCTTATAATTTCCACATATGTGGCTAGTGTAAATGTAAAAGACATTGGGTGTGATTTTTGAGCTAATCTTCCAATGTATTGGAAAAGGTGCAGATAATCCAGGTGCTTTGTGCTATAAAACTCCCAACACCAGCCTGAGTATCCAGGTAACTCATTTATGCCTAAAATAGTTCCAGCTTTTAGATTAACAAACTGTTTAGAAATTGGATATTTGTAAGATACCAAGAAAAACTCAACTACATTATTATTTTTAATTAAAACTGAAAATTGTATTTATTTTACATATTGTACATTAGGAACTCAACCTCTTACTTTCTGTATAGGCAGGTGTGAGCTTTTGTGCTCTTTACACAAGTTGCCAAGTGTAAGTGGGTAAATAGCAATATGTGATTTAGCAAAATTACTGGATAGTGAACTAAACTGTTGTGTATCTTTATAGATATGTTCAGTATTCAGTTATAATTTGTCAGTGTTAGTGTGTTTATCTAGTGCAAGTAAATATACTGACTATGCTACAGTGTAATAGAAACAAAAGGTGTGATGTATGTTGATTGTTCTTGAGCTAAGTGTAAGAAAGATGAGCTCATATGTAAAGTTCCAGTTGTGGATTCAGTAATGTGCTTATGTTAACAAAAACCATTGTCATCTCAAAGCCTAATATGAAACTTGTACGTAATAAATATATTATTCTTGAACTTACTTGGTAATCACATTTTTTTTAGTTTTTTCTTCATAATATGGTATTAAGCAGCTTTATACTCCACTCAGTCTTGGTTTATGCTAATCAATTCATTTATTTACTTGATACTGTCTAAAATATTTGGTGGACAAAAATGTGTTATGTGGAACTCCAAAAATAGCAAACTACTAAATGTCTGTTATTTGGATTGTTTTACATGACAGCAAAATTCATAAACATACTGAGTGATGTGCTGGAATATATAAAGATAAATATTTTTGCCCTCCCCCTAAATTACAATTGCAAATTGTAATTGTTTTAAAATATTTAGTATTTTTAGCTATAGATCATAACTTTTATATAAGTTTCAACTTCCACAATAATGAAAAATAACAAAATGCTTAACTGTTTGCTTATTTTTTATTGTTTTTTCAAATGTATCTTTTTAGGGGATCCTTTGGTAAATAGTTATTCTTTTATTGATCATTTTTTCCTTATACAGGTTGGATACATGCTGTATACACTCCTGAAGATACTCTTGTGTTTGGGGGGAACTTCTTGCATAGTTTTGCCATCGAAAGACAATTACGAATTGCAGAAATAGAAGATGCAACACATGTAAGCTCTGAAGCTATTTTCATATTTTTCTGCTTTTTATACAAACATGATAATTAATTTTTCCTTAGTTATATTAAGTGTTTTTGGTATGCATTTAAATAGCAAGAAGGCTCAAGTGTCTAAACATGAAATTGAGAACATCATATTAAAAAAGCATTGTGTAGTATTATCTTAAATTCAGCCAAAACAAGTTAATTTGAGAAAACAGCTAAAGTTTGGTGTATTTTAAAAATGCCAGTATTTAAGTTCTTCGCCAAATGGTTAGGGCGCTCGACTCGTAATCTGCGGGTCGCGGGTTCGAATCCCCGTCCCACCAAACACGCTCACCCTTTCAGCCATGGGGGTGTTATAATGTGATGGTCAATCCCACTATTCATTGGTAAAAGAGTAGCCCAAGAGTTGGCATTGGGTGGTGATGACTAGCTGCCTTCCCTCTAGTCTTACACTGCTAAATTAGGGATGGCTAGCACAAATAGCCCTCATGTAGCTTTGTGTGAAATTCAAAACAACTAAACAAACAAGACTTTTTCGGGGGGGGGGGGGTAAATGCAAGGGGTTGTCATTCATAAGTATCAATTGAATGAAACCACAAAAAAATGCATAAAAAATTTCACACTTTGGGTATTCAAGATTCAGACAATTAGAAAATAGCTATGGTATGTGCAACAATCATTTCTTTATAACAGGACAAATTTTAAATAAAAGTACTCTCAACAAGAACCGGACTTTCACTAGGACTGTATGTGAAGATTAGGTTATATCTTTATTGATGTAATTTTTAAATGTAGTACTAAAAAACTGGAGTTTTTAAAAAAGATGTTATATTTTCAATAAAGAGTGGCACTTTTAATATATACAAACATTATAGTTTATATCGGTAAAATTTACGAAAATTTGGAGCTCTGTACATTGAATCATTTTGATGCAATGAGTTGGGTATGACTAAAGAGTACAATCCAAACACTTTTCCTGTGTAGTACTTCCCAGAAAAAAAATACTTTTTTAGACAATTTTCACATTTTTACAGTGAGGTATTAATACTACCTTTACTAATTACTAGCACAAACAGGTTCCCATAGGACAGCATTTCTGCTAGTATAGTAAATAAAACAAGGTGTCCAAAACGTGGACAAACTTGTTTTCTTGTTCACAACATGAAAAAATTATGCAGTAAATAAAATTACAATTACATTTAAGTTAACATTTAAAAGTGAACTAAAGGATACTTTTTTCTTACATATTTTTTTCTTAATATTTTTTAATTCACAAAGAGAACATATATCTGGGTATTTAATTGTTTCTGGATTGTATTCAGAAATATTGTTTTAATTCCCTACAAACTGTAGGACTTTTTTTGTGGGGGTGGAGTTTCTCTTTTTTTATTATAGTTGAAGGTTGCATTTAACCAAACCATTAAGGCTACTGTGTTCTGTTTTGTTGTTTATTTACTATTGGTTAATTTATTCAACAGTATTGTTAAACTGTAAGGTTATAGTTAAAGGTCTCATTTATTTTCTAATATATTGCTGTGTTCTGGTTTATTTATTACTAAATTTTTATTTATCAGTTTTTTACATAAATAAAAATGTGTTTATTGTAAATAAGTAGCATTTCTTTCTTTTAGTTGGACATATGAATAAGATGCTATTGTACTGTAAGGTTGCAATTCTGCAAGTCTCAAAAGTGCTTCAGATACATGTACATAAATAGTATGCTTTTATATTATTATTATTATTTTTTTTTTAACAACAAGATTACTGTTCTATATAATGTATTTAAAACTATACGTGGATGTTTTATTTCACTTCTATGATTACAAGTAAAATACTAAGATTTTCAATGCTAATAGCTAAGGTGGTGTCATTGACAAATTATGTAAATTAGTACTAGCGAAGGTTCGAACCTTCGAAGGTCAAAATTTACCCTTTGGTACAGCCCTAGTATTGACTGCCTTTATTTTGATCATCATGAAATTTATTTTTCTTGATTGATGACTACTGTGTACTGTATCCATCTTAGTAGTTTTTATGAAATTCATAAAGATCTGTACTAATAGCTTCAAATACTGCCCAGAAAACTTCTAAGGCAGGTAAAGTCTATAGAAGTCTCCAAGTACAGACTTATCTACCTCAACTTTCTTTTAAACAAGAATTTGTTATAAAAGTTAGTAAATAGAGCTGTACTGATTGTGGACTTTACAGTTAAGAAAGGCATTAGTCAATAGAAAATAAACTAATCTTGACTGATGATTATTTCCTCTCTCTCTCTCCTCAGGTGCCTGTGAAATTCCGTTATCCTTTTTATACAGAAATGCTGTGGTACGTGCTCCAACGTTATGTCCACTCTGTTATGAGAAAAAACCACTTACTGTGTGATGTTGATGGTGAACCTATGAATTCCAGTGGATCTCAGTCAAAAAAAAAAGAGAAAATTGTAGTGAAGACAGAACCCATTTGTGGTCCCCACATGACTTCAAATGGCAATGAAGATACCAGTGACACCAACCATTTGAGCCAGTATATCAAATTAGCTCCTCCTCATGCTTCCCAAGTGACTAGTCCCAAAATAGATTGTGAAAAATATCCTAGTGTTAATGGTAGGAAACTGAATGAAATAAGTGATACAAAGCCACTCTTGAAGCAAGAAAACTTGACAGTTTCTCCTTATGACAGCAAGCCTCTGACAGAGACAGTCAATGGAGAAAATTTGGACAAGCCTAAAGAAAGTAAAAATATTCACTTGACTCAGTTTGAGCTCTCTGGTCTGAAGGTAGAAGTTATACTTTGAGACTTAATTAGTTATTTTATGCATTGTGCTTATGTCAACAGAAGTGTTGAAGTCCAAATAGAAATAATTAGTTTGTTTTTCAAAATACTAATTTCCATTTATATCTCTTGTTGTTATAATCATATGCATGTAAAAGTCCTGATCAAAAGTGTTTTTTGCCAAAACCTTTATCACTATTTTCTTTAATACAACTTTTTAGATATTTTTTCAGGTGTTGTTCATGCATTACAATATTTGTTAAAAATGCATCTTTTAAATTTGTAAAACTGTTTTGTATTGGTTTCCTGAAATTTAAGATATGCATTATATTTTATTGAATGTGCATTTCAGACTATTGTTCAGTGGCTTCAGAGACTTCCAGCCAATAAGAAGTGTGTGCCAGACTTAATTGCCAATCCTGAAGCTCTTCTGTTGGACATAAAGGTATTATTTTTATTTGGACAGTTAGAGTTGTTTCTTCTTGGTGTGTGTGTTTTCTTTCTTTTGCAAAAGACCTTTATGGTGTTTTCCAGGTTTTATATGTGTAAAATAAACGTGTACTTTTTGTGTAATCTGATCATGAACAATAATAAATGATTGTTATAAGAATTAGTACAAATTGTAACATTGTCATGGGCTTGTTAATGTAAACATTTAGTCCTGTAATATTCGCATATGATACAAAATATATCACTGAGAGTTAACTTTTTCAACTACATCTTGAAAATTAAAAAATATGATAGAACAAAGGAATGGAAAATTAATGACCCTACTTAACCTTATGGTTACGGGGTTAAACCCATTTGGCTACTTCTCTTTTTGGAAAATTATACACAGTTCAACAATACTTACAATAACTCTTAGCTTTCTTAATATATTTTCACAACAAATGGTAAGATTTTGTTAAAGATTACAAGTATTTTGTACACAAAGAATGAGATTATTTTAGTTAAAGAATTTTGTCATGATATAAAAGACTGTTTAGATATTATTGATTAATTTATTTTTGTCAGTGAATATATTATTAATGTTTGTCATAATAAGAGTTAAAAGCAGTCGATTATAGGAAGTTATGTTTATAATACATTGACATTGAGAATATAGAGATTTCTAGAAGGCCAGACAATTAAGTGATAAAGATATATAAATAGTTGAGATGAGCAGAAGCAGCAGACAGACAATAGCAGAAGAGAGTAAAGTTATTGGCAAGGAAAAGTTCAGTGTGAAGTTAACTACCATAGAAGTGATAGGACTAACGTTTAATATGTTAGAGCAAGACTAATAGTAGAAAAGGAGATAAAAGAATAACTTATTCTATCAAAGCACTTTTATGAAAAGAACAGAGAATATTTAGAAGAAAGAAAACCAAACGATTACAGAATACTAGTGTGATAGTAATTCACAAGATAGTTTGACTTGTCAACTGAAATTCTAAAGCAATTGAATAGGCCTAAGTGGACTTTTGACAAGAAGAAGAGAACTATATATGTCCGGTTTATGATATGCCTATAATCTATATAGTGTGAAAAATTTATTGTACATAGATATATATTATGTTGAAAACAAGTGAAGTACTGTTCATTTATTGTTGATTTTATCATCAACAAGTCACAGACACCTACTGTAGAAGAATCCTAAGCCTAACAACAATACAGTATATATTTATACAATTAAGGAGTATAAGTAAAAGCCTTTTATTTTGACAATTGGCAAAAATAAATATATTTTTAAATTCTAACAATTGGTTAGCCAGCCAGGATTATACAGTGGTAAACGGCGATAGAAGAAAATGTGAATGACAGCGGAAATAGTAGTCCTATCTATATACACACAACTGTAGTAGTAACAAAAATAGTGTAGAGATCCTGATTATGCTATACAACCATGTCAGGTGATTTTGATAAATGGGTAGAAAGAGGATCTCAACTTGGGTTAAAAGACAGTGAACTACAAGAGTTTGTTAAACAACAACAAGAACTAGAGAGAGAGAAGAATGGTGACAGAAGTGGCAAATCGAGAAAGAAGAGAGACTAGAAATAGAGAATTAAGATAGCAAAACTCACCCAACCAAGGTAGGAAGGACCCAAGAATAACAATGGAGTCAGAGCTAGCCAACCCAAGCTGCCCAAGTTTGATGAACATAAGGATGACGTGGATGCTTTCCTGGAGAGATATGAAAGATTTGCCCAAAGTCAGAACTGGGACAAAGGCAACTAGGCAGTCTGTCTCAGCCCACTTGTCACAGGAAAAGGGCCTACAAGTATATGCATTAAACCTGATAAACTGAGGCAATTCGGCTTATACTTAAAAAATTATTAAACCTTTCTAATATGTATTTTAAAACATAACTAACACATAATTAACTAAAATATAAAAACTAAACCTAAATGAAATTTAATTGTCTAACTAACTAACATATTTATAGGTAAGAAATGACACTAAAGTGCTAGCGTGGATGCAAGCAGCAACAATGCTAAGAGCATTTGATGAGTTCTATATGGAATTCTTGATGCTATCTTTAAAATAACTCTTGGTAAATAGTATTTCAAAATATGGTTGTTCTGTTGGTTACAAATATCTAGCTCAGCCAAGTATAATTGGGTGAGGAATTGCAACTGTTTGTGTAGAGAGTGGGCATGGCATCTTTCAACAGTTCCAAGGAACTTATTTCTCTTTCCTCTCAACATCCAATAAGGGGAGTGAAAGAAGGACGTGTAAACGGAGCAATTAGCATTGTTTCTATCTATACATAGAAGTATAGTGTACAGAAAGAACTATTTAAGAGACAAAAAGTTAAAATTTTGTGAATTTGTGCATCAAACTGAAGTTTAAGAATTTTTCTTTAAGGTTTCTTTTGAAATAAAGGAATTAAAACTTAGATAATATAAAACTTTGAAATATATTGTAAATTTTAATGCAATTTCATCAGTATACATTAATAGTAAGATTGCTTAATTAAATTTTGAATTTAACAAAGTAAAATCTCGTGACATGCGCAGTACAGAGGCACCTGTAATTATAGGGTTAACATTGATTGTTTAGCTTATAAAGATTAACGATTTTAAAAGCTAAGAATAACTGGTAAATTAACTTCTTCAGAATTTTAGATATTTATTGTTTTAGTTTGAACTTTGCAATATAACTAGTTTTATTCCTTTGTGTCGCAAAACTTCTTAGTTTACATTATTGTTGTAGCAAATGAAAATACATGCACTTCAGAATTGAGTATTTTTGTAAACAGTTTTTTTGCATTAATTAAAAAGATCTGTCATACTTAAGATCCTGTTATTCTTATTGATTGATATTTCAGGTTCTGCTAAGAGACCACAAAAACGATAATCCTCATATGTCTTGTACAGGTAAACCTATCCTGTGGTGGCCAGAATCTAAGGTGAGGTCTAGAAACTGGTTTTATTTCTGTTGTATAAATTTATATGTAGATATTAGCCAGTTATAATAATTTAATTTAATAAAACACTGCATGTATGAGTTTTTTATTCAATATTCATGTCCCCTGGTGGCTCAGCAGTAAGTGTGAGGGCTTATAACACAAAAATTGGGTTTTGATACCTAAGTGGACAGAGCATAGTTAACCCATTGTGAAGGTTTGGATTAAAACAAATTTTTTGGTTTGTATTTCACTTTATAATGGTAAATGTGTTGTTTATATTGTTATTCATGTTTTATTTATATTTAATCGTGAATAGACCTTAGAATAATACTTAGAGGACTTGCTAGTCATTAGAGCTGGGCAGTTAGCAGTATTTGCTAAATCAATAATCGATGGCTGTATTAATGTATTACGTTTGATTAATTGACCAATACAGTATTTTTTAAACCATGGTACATACAACAAAAACAAATGGTGAGTGCTGCTAACCAGTTACCTTCCATCAAGTCAGCAGTTCAAAATTAGTGACAATGGCAAATAACCTTAGTAGTTTTCATATAACAAAGACTGGGTAAGCAAGTTTGATGGCAATGGAAGTCCAACATGAGGCCTTCAAATCACTAGCTTGCCCCCACCTGCAAATCACCAAAGCTGAACAAACTTGAAATAGAGAAAATAACTTAAGGCTACAATAGGCAGGGCACAGATAGTGCATTATATGTCTTTGTGCCTAACAACAAACAAACATGTAACATTTCAATTACTTTCATAGTTGGAATATTGTATCCCTAATTTTGGTTAATCGATTGTTGGAATAATTGAAAACAGTAATGTTTGGAAACAATAATTTCAGTTAATGGATTTATTCATAATTTAGAATAATCAATAAGTTTACAGTGATTAGTCATGTTCATAGGTATTTGGTTAAATTGCCCAGATCTAATAGTCATCAACTTTTGTGCTTGTTTTTATTCTTAAGACAACTAGCCTTATGCTGCCATGAATATTGCTGGTATGTGTTTATATAACAATGTTTCAGAATGATATTAAAATTATAAAAAAATGTTACATAATTTTTCAAAGAATAAAATGCATAGTAATATAAAATAAAATATTCTGTAAAGAGTTATTGGAAAAATACAGCCAGAATCGTATTGTTTTCTTAAACTGTTTTATCCCAAACAAATTGTATTATTTTAAATTTTATGAAGAAACCAAAACCAAAACCACGAACTAGCATACCATCAGGGACAAAAGGAAAGTCTGGAGGGAAGAATAGTGGTAACAATAACAATGCTAGACGACGACGAACACGGTGCAAGAAGTGTGAGGCCTGTTTAAGGTCAGATTGTGGAGAATGTCACTTCTGTAAGGATATGAAAAAATTTGGTGGACCAGGCAGAATGAAGCAGTCATGCATCAGCCGACAGTGCATGGCGGTAAGACATTATATTTTATTACTGTGTTGCCATCTGATAGCAATGATTGTATTTGTTTGGATGTTAGTCAGGTGTTGTGCCTCAATAAGAAATTATTGTATTGTGGGAAACGACTCATTCTTTGTGTATATGTTGTAGAAACTGAAGAGTATCCTTGAACACTAAACCAGTATTTATGCTTTTATGTATGTGTCTTTTTATTTATTTGATGTTAATTGACAGTAATAAAGAGTTTTTATATTGTTTCATTTTTATCAGTCACTTCCCTGAGCAAAATATGCTTGAATCCTGTTATGTACATTTGTTGTTGAATTTTCACCAATAGAGAAAACATTTCTAACCAACTTTTGTTGAACCCCAAGAGAACTTCTTTCTTATAAACTTAATATTTGGGGTTTCAGAGGCCTATGTTTTTGCTGTATAAAGTTTATGCACTATAAAGAAATAACAAATAATCCCTTTAAGTCCTTAAACCCACTCGGAAGCTGCCAGCATCTGATAAGAGTTATGTCTCTTTGGCTGAAAACTAATCCAAATCATGTTATTATCCACCTTTTATTTATAAATAGACTGGAAATTTTATAAGGTATGGTAATAATTATTAGCACGTCATGAAAATAATTCCAGCAGAACGTGCAAAAAATTATGGGTTTAAGGAGTTAAAATTCACTTTTCAATACATATAGAAGGAAATTTAGGTTAATAGGAAAAACCACTCAAAATATGTAGTTATCACTTGTGAAGTTAACAATGTTTTCATATTCATCTTAAAAGAAATGTTGATACTCAAAAAGAGTTCTTATTTTTAAACAGCCTGTACTACCTCATACAGCATGCTGCATGATTTGTGGCCGAGATGGCTGGGAAAAAGTGAGTAACCCACAAGATAATGAGTTAGCAAGTCTCATGGAGTGCTCACAGTGTTGGGAAATTGTACATCCAACATGTCTACGGGAACGTTTTCCTGAACTCCCTCCAGAGGGCTCTTTCAATGATGATCTCCCTAACAGTTGGGAATGTCCAAAATGTTGTAGGGATGGAAAACCTGAACAAGTAAAGGTACACAACTTTTGTTGTATATACAGTATAAGAGTAACAGGATTTAAATCATTTTTATTTTAATCTCTTTTTTCACCACATTTGTGTATTTCATCCAAAAAGCTATCTGCCATAGTGGATTATTCATAGCATAGAAAATTCAAATACTTTTAAGGAAATTAATTTGGTGTGTGCTAATGAAAATCATTTAAGCTTCATTAATAAGAAAGACCTTGCAATTTATTTGAAAAACACATAAAGAACTAGGGACAGAACATTAACAGTTTTTGACTTTATGGCTGTTATTTTGTAGATATATATTACCACAAGGAATGATAAAACAATTTTTAGAAAACCTCAAATAATGTTTATATAATTTAAAATAAGATCCTTCAAATAAACGTAATAAAACATATTTGAGAGGTTGGAGATTTTTATAGGTTTTGTTATAAAATTCTGTTTAATTATCCACATGTTCATTTGATAATGTGGAACCCACTTTGAGACGATTAAAATTTAGAAATTAATTGGTAACAACGAAAACAAAATTACAAGTTTTAACATGGTAACAAATGTACAATGTTTCACCTTGTCTAAACATTGAACATTTGGTACTAGGTTAAATTTGTAATAATGTTTTCTTCATTATCCATTCAAACCATCTCTAAACTTCATTATCAACAGACTTGTTTGAGAAGAAAAAGCAGTACATTCTGTAAATAGAATTAAGTACTTGGGAATTATGTTTGTTTCAACATTAATTGCATTTACTATATATATTGCTTTAGAAACCAGGGTGAAACTCCATTTATATATATGCGAGACCCAAAGGTATTCACAATCTCACGTAGGTTTCTGGGCATTAATCCCATTTTATGTAAAATCAAACCAAAAATGTTTTTAGTTTTCTTTTAATGCAGAAATATTTTATCTGTGTTTTAATTAAGAAAATGTTTTTGACAAAAAGATTAAACACAACTATTTCATGAAAATGATACCAATTTTATGAAAGACAGTAGTTAATAATTCTTTGAAGAGATGGTTTAACAATCTCATTTTAATCCTAAATGAAAGTCTGGTATTTTATTTTCTCCCTTCACCTTAATTATTTTCTAAAGTAAAGTTGTTCATTTTATTTGTTTCTGAATACCTTATTGAGTTGTTTATGTATTTCCATATAAATACAGAAAAAGTCATCATTAGCTGTATTTAAATAGGCAAAAGAAATTTGGCACCATAAACCACTGAGGAAAAAATCTTGAATTAAAATCATGCAAAACAACATTACCAGATAAAGAAAATTATACCTGTTGCAGAACACAGCAAAGGGTATAATTCCAGAAAGTGAGAAATCAGTCATGAGAAAAACAGCTGAATAAAGGGAACAGACTACACGTTTAAACCTACAGTGTCTTAACTTTTGACTACCATCCACTGTCCACAGCAGATTTTGTGGTAGTTACTCCTCTGTCATACTTTTCATTTTGGAATAGCAAAAATAAAATAACACTAAAAAATCCTATATATAAGTGCAATGAAATACAATAAATTTACCCAATCATCGTCATTAAAATTTCAATTGTAACTTGCTGCAAGTCAAGTAACTACTGCTAAAAACAAACTAGCCTAGTTACTCGACATTTATTTCTGGGCGTTATTACTTGCTTTTACAGGTATTACTATAAAAAAATATGTAATGATTTTTTTTATAGTTTTAGAATACCCTCTGTAAAAGAGGTATTTAAAATACTGGGAATGAATGAAATTCAATGATTCATACAGTGAAGTATATTTTATTAAATCATTTGGATAAGTTATTAAAACTGTTTTCCAGAAATCTAAATTATTAAAAGATGAAATTATCAACATAATGAAAATTTTCAGAATTAGTAGAATAAATGGCCCTCTATAGGCATGCCAATTTGTTGCTTAAAAACATTATTGAATATGAAATAGTTATTTTAAATATAAAAAGTAAATAAATTTTGGTATTTATCTTAAATTAAATGTCATCCAAAAATCAACCTATTAATAAATCGAATAGTTAAAGGTATTTTAGAATAGAATGGTGAAGTAAAAAGTTAATGAAGCAGCAATAGTTACTGTTTCATATAGAAGAGCATATTTCAACCACATATATCTGTCATGATAAATATAATTGATGACAATCATGCATTGCCAGCAAAGATATTCATACCATAACAAGTGTTATACTAACTTATATAAATATAAAATTTCAACCACTGTCCCAGTCAATCTTTTGCAATGATTACGATGGAAGTTGTATAGTTGAAAACTATTATACACTCATTTTTTCTTGGAAAAGCCCTGAGGGACTGATTAAAGAATATAGTGTATTATGACAAATAAGAGCAATTAAAATCAGATTTGTTTATTTGGTTTTGATTTTCTTGCTTAGCCAAGACATGTTAAAGGTGGTCGTCAGAAACATCCTGAAACTCCAAGGCCTACCCAGTCTACAACCTCAGAGGTGGTTTCTAATAATCATACAGAACATGGAAACCTTAAAACAACTACCAGTATTTCCCAAGAAATAGAGGGCAGCACTGAGAAAGACACTCTTGGGACTAATGATTTTAGCCCTGTCAAAAAAAAGGTGGTAGCATGATTTCTAAACTGATATGTTCAATTCAGGACAGTTTATTAGAACTGTGATTATGATACAAATAACTTTTTTTACTGGGCATTAACAACTATATTTATAACATGCAAGTTTACAGGTGTGCAAGTAATCCTTTTAACTCTTTCAGCACAGGCAAGATGCGAAAAGAAAAAAGCACGAGAAAAACATTGCTTTACAAACCTTGAGACTTAATCTAAAAAAAAAAAAAATGAT